TATATATATATATATATATATATATATATATCTTGATATCAAATTTTTGCAGGTTACAGAATTGAGGAAGGATTACACGAGTTTGATTGTTTTGGAAGGAACAACAGTGCTGCGAAGTTCTATTCTTAAAAGTCAAATGCCTTCCAAGGTAATTTAACTTGATTATAATTCAGACTCCAACTCCATTTTCTATTTGGTTATTCGTTGCGAGCAAAATGAATCAATCATATAAATTGGTGCATGGTTGTGGTTGAGCTTTTACTTAAGATAGAACTTGTCCATCTGATAGTTATAGTAAAATAAGGCAATGATAGTCTCTATGTTCATCTAATTGGTGCTTTGATTGAATTGCAGGACAACAACAAATGCCTTTTAAGGTAAACAAACTTCGTTATAGTTCAGACTCCGTCGCCTCCAAGAAACTGTCACTACACAGGTAAACCAATGTCCAGACCTCTCCTACGGCCACCTGCCAGATGATGAGTCCCAACAACGTCCAAACTCCGTGCTTCTCCTTTGTTCTCTACCGATCAACTCCCGTCTACTTCAGCGACATCCTCATAGTACAAATAATATCTCCAATTTTTAACAGTGCATCTACTCGTAAGGGTGTGAATCGGTCAAACTTGGACCGGACAGGAAGCATATAAGGACTTATTAATGCACCTAGGACCGGACCTAATTACCTATGGACTGGACCGGGCTTGGACCGGTAATATCCAATCTGGCATGGGACCAGCCGAATAAGACCCGTTTCGAAATTGGATGTTTGACAACATGCGTAAATGACTAATAGTTTTTTGTTCGTTTTGACCACAATTGTTGCTATATGCATGGGCTGAGCCTCATTCATGACAATAAGCTCTAATGAACGAAGAAAAGAATTTATTTTAAAAAACTAACTTAAAGGTTCTATAAAATTACAGGTGACAAGAATACTTTATTTTATCAAATAATCAGGGAAAACACAGTGAATAAACAATGGTTTTCGAGAGATGAAAAAAATGTAATCTATTGCGGGATTGAGGGTGTATGGTAATATTTGGATTCATATGGTGTGTGCGTGTGTGTGTGTCTTTATACTCCCTCCGTCCAACAATAAAGTTCATGGTTTGACTAATGAGTTATAAAAATTCTGTTGACTTTCCTGTTATACGCCTACGCCTTTACATCTCTCCATCAGTCACCATTTGTCATCGTCAGCATCGTCAATGCTAATGATGATTCTCCGGCGCTGCTGACGATGACTCTATGGCACGGCAACGATGTCTCTACGGCACCACCGCGAATGACTTCTCTAACTCTTGTTGCCGACATCCCTCGGTAACTCTCCACCCTCATAGATCTGGTTCTGTGGTGAAGGCGA